CTCTCTCTCTCTCTCTCTCTCTCTCTCTCTCTCTCTCTCTCTCTCTCTCTCTCTCTCTCTGTCTGTTTGTCTGTCTGTCTATCCATCTGTCTCTCTGTTTCTCCCCCTCTCTTCTCGTTATATTAAGGGGAAAGTAGAGGGAAAGAAGACAGAGAAGAGGGGCTCCACGCTCGCACGCGACCTACGCATGCGCATACGCACGCACACATGGGCACACATATTATACATTTTGATATCGTATTATTATTATTAAATTCTAAAGCGAGGAAAAAAAGGAGATAAAGAAAAACATTATTGAACGGCCGCGAGCACGCGCGCACAAATTGCGTTTATTCCTCTTTATCTCGCGTAATTGTAAAATTAAATCAGAGCGCGTCGCTCGTTCACGTCGTAAAATTAACAGGTCATGATTGTAAGTACGACGATTGAGAAACTTCCCAGGAACAAAACAGATCATTATCTCTTCTAATTTTTTTCTTCTTTCGAATCTACTCGTTCGCGAGCCCTCTGTCACCTCTGTGTGTAAAACGCAAACATGATTCGAGATTTTTACAAATTTAAAATACTTACTACTCATCTCACGTTACGAGCCTCGGACTCGAATTAATCCGCGCCATTAACGGCAACGCTGTTGGACAATACTCTCGAGATAATGACGTTTACGCTATCACGTGCAATGCGAGAAAGAAGGAGAGGAGGATTTTCTAAATTATAAAAAAGAAATGTAATTTTATAAATTTCATTTTGACTTGTCCCATCGACTCCGTCGCGCCGCGTCATTTAATTTATATTTCGTTATTTATTCTTCGTTATTTTTTTATTCTTCGTTATTTTTCTGTTCTTTATGAAGAGATTAATCTCGTCCGCACTATCCCTGCGCGTCCTGCGAAGCTTTCCATCTCCCTTCCTCTCTCACTCGATCTCTCCGACTCTTTCTGAGCATCTTTCCTCTCACCTACGTATCCGCTCCTTCGACTGAATTCAATTCACTTTTCTCCGAAGAGCAACTCTCGCTGAGCGACTTCTCGCCTCGTTTATTTATTTCTTCCGGCTTGCACTAGGCATTTCCAAATATGAGCGAATTCGCCAATAAGAAAGTTTGACAATAAGAGTACAATACGAGAATTCACGATTTGCTTATATGTATATATATATATA